TCAAATGGGAAGGACTGAAATTGTATTTGTATGTAAGGATGGGGGAGGAAAGGTTGTGTGTTCATGGTATAATGCATGAGTATTTGATAATATAACTTACAGTTAAAGGTTTGTGTAATTTAGATGCCTATTGACTTAAATTTTAATGTGCGCGTGTGTGTTAATTTCTACAGTACATGTATGAGCTAAGTATAGAAATGAAAACTTCCCCCACTTAAAGTCAAATATGCTACATCTAGGAAACAAAAATGTGACATGGCTTTCTTTCAGGAATGAAGACATTAAAGGGGAGGGATTCTTGTGCGTTTAACTCAGTAACTCTACAAAATGAAAGCCTGTTTTACCAGAATTGCCCAGAGAATAGTTCTCATCAAGGTCTTTTTTTTTCATTATCAATTAAAATTTTAAGCTCCTGTTTTAGCTCAAAACCTCTCAAAAAAGCTATCAGTTTTTATTACTAAATTATCAGTTTTGTTTTCATTTAATAAGCCTTGTTAAACAAATTAGATGGTTTAAAGAGGAAAAAAAATGCTTGGCGGCAGGCACCAGGGCATTTTAGATCATTAATTTTCTGAAGTCTATAAGCAGCTGGTGACGGAGGCAAAATGTGTCAGCTTGGCTTGCACAAAGCAGTTACTCTACTTGTTTAGAGCTGTCCGTGTCACTGTGAGGTCTCAGTTGTGTATAAAGGGCATTTGTTTCTCTGGATGTTGATTTAGCATAGTATCTTTCCAGTTGATTCTGGATGTGAAATGAGCATCTTGGCTATATTTAAAAATATTTTCCATGTTAATTGGTTAAAAATTATGACAAGACTGTTTATTGTGATTTTATGACTTAGATATTTTGGAAAATAAATGTTGCAATAATGAAAGGTTATGTCTTTTAATTGGTAATACAAATAATCAAAGGCTTGGTAATATACATTGCTTTTTATATTTCCTGTTTTCTTCTGTTTAGGTAAAAAACTTTGCTGTTATTTATCTTGTGGATATCACTGAAGTGCCAGACTTCAACAAGATGTACGAGTTGTACGATCCCTGTACCGTCATGTTTTTCTTCAGGTATATGATGGTTCTAGAATTCAACTCAGTTAAATTTTTTGTGTGTCAAATACAGTGTCTCAGTAGATAATTTCTAAATGCATATTAGCATACTGATGCTTATATTTTCATTGCTCTACAAAAGAGGAGACTGATTAAATAGGAAAATGGCTTGTTTTCCAATTAGCCTAGTAACATTGTTTTGATAATAGAGTACAAATCAGCGGTAGTGAAAACTGTTTTTATTATCCATTGATTTTAGTTTTAAATCTGAAACTCCCTGTATAGAATACTGCAGTAATACAGCAGTCAAGCTTGTCAAACTTGCTTTAAAGGTATACCCAAAGTATTAAGGTTTTTTTGGAGCTAAGGCATCATCTACATTGGTGAGAGAAAATGTGCTACTGACAAGCGTGGAACACTCTCTCTGGTGTCAGACGTTAGTGGGAAAGAAATAGGAACAATGAGGAATATGCTGAAGGATAATTGCACTGAGTAGAGATCTTGGGGGCATGTTTGCAGTCTTTATTCTAGCTTTAGAAATAGACAGTAAAATGTCAATTTGAGTGACAGGAGTTGGATACTCTTTCTTTGAGGCTTATTTTGCAAGCTTGTTTATGTTATAAGGGCATCTTTTGAATCCTGCAAGGCATTCTCGTGGGGGATATAAAGTTTCTTTCTGAATTATAATACCATATTAACTTGTCTGTTGTTTTTTCTCTCCCTTTAAAGGAACAAACACATCATGATTGATTTAGGTACAGGTAATAACAACAAGATCAACTGGGCAATGGAAGATAAGCAAGAGATGATTGACATTATAGAAACTGTTTATAGAGGAGCCCGCAAAGGTCGAGGTCTGGTGGTATCACCAAAAGATTATTCCACTAAATACAGATATTGACATTTCTTTGGGCTGCCTTTTTTTTTAACTCTACATCCACTTAAATTTATTCTTGTGTATGTGTGTACATATATATATATATTAAAAGAAAAAAACCCTACAAATCCTTCAACTTTGAGCATGTTTTGAGTTATTTAAAAGGTTTGAATTCCATTTGGAAAAGTAGAAGACACAAAGCCTGGAGCTATCTGACTGCAGTAATATTGTAGCTGAATTTGGGGTCGGTTTTTTTATATTTATTTTTAAAAGACTTTACTCTGTGTTGTCCTTTTGGTATTACGTATTTTTGTACACAAAGAGCCTGTTCACAGAAAAACATTTCAACTGTTTTTGTTTGATTTTGTTACACAGATATCTGGGAAAACTATACTACAGCTTTTTTAAAAGAATAAAGTGAGTTCCACTTATTCACCTTAATTTTCTTTAGCTAATTAAATTTGAGAATGAAAACAAATGTAATTGGATGCAAAGTCATAACGTTGAAGATGAAGGCTTATCACTTATGTCAGGATCTCCTTGCATAGTGTCTTGGTCTTCTGTATCCACTAAAAATGGGAATAAAGCACTAAGGTGCATTTATTAATATTTAGCAAAACGCAGAGAATTAATATTTAGCAAAACTCAGAGAAAACATCTTCCACAACTTTGTGCAGCAGCCCTCTACCCCTCAACCTAATTGACTTGTGGTGATGGACTTATTTTTCGTGGTGATTATACATACAGTAGTCCCTTTGAAGTACTTAGTAGATTCTGCAGTGCCAAAGGGTAATTGCAGTTCTGGAGCTGGCTACATAGTCAACAATTGAAGAAAGGATGAGCTGTGCTTTCTTTCATTTGACCTCCAGTTTGTCTAATAGTATACTAAAATGCCGATATACTCATGAGGCTTGGATTGGATTCTACTGTGGCATGGCCTTTGAAGTTTCCATTTGCACTTCTGACAACTTTTGTTTTGTGGTAATGGAGCCTGTGTTGTGTGGTTTTTGGTTTTGGTTTTTTTTTTTTTTTTTACTGGTACATGCATTTTTACAGGATTAAGCAAAACCAAGCCAGACTGTGCAGAAAGGAGATACCTGCACTTTTGGTCCAGTTTGTCATAAGACAAAGTAGAATATGCTTTTTTACCATCAAGTGTGTTTTAGACTATTTAGAATGAGTCAAGAAAGTAAGACACAGGGTCTGAATTTCTGCTTAAGTAAATCTGGTTTTTAGTGATTATTAATTATGGAATCAATTATGTTGGAAAGGACCACCAACCTCCCAAAGTAGGTCCCACTTGATCAAGTTGCCCAGGACTGTGTTCAGTGTTGAGGAATCTCCATCCTTAGTGATACTCAGCCTTTCTGGAAAGCCTGTTCTGCTGCCTGAGAACCTTCATAGTGGAAAAAAGTGTTCCTTGCATCTAGCTGGAATTGCCTGTGTTCCAGCTTGTGTCTATTAACTCTCATGTAAAACACCTCCAACAAGAGTCTAACTGTTCTCCATGCCCTAACACAGAGTAGTTCTTACCAGTAAGAAGCCATAGCCTTTTCTTAAGGCTGAACTAACAGAATTCTCTCAAACCTTTGTAGGCTTTGTACTCCACTGTCTCTTGGTGGCTCTCTGTTTTAGCTCCCTCATAACTATGTGTTTCTTGAACTGGGGAGCCCCAAAATTGACACAGTATTCTGGGTGTGGTTTCAGAGGAGTTGACTAGAGGGGAATGATCTGCTGGCTCTGCTTGCACTAATACTGACCAGGATGGAGCTGCAGCCTCCTGACTCCAGTCTACTTAGCCACCAGATTCCACTCCTTTCCTGCAAAGCTGCATGCCAGCCAGCCCCTCACAACTGCAGCCTAAGCTTATCCTGTCCTAGAGGCTTGGCAGTTGCCTTTGAACTTCATGACGTTCCTGTTGGCCTGTTTCTCCAGCCTGTCCTCTGGCATATCAACCTCCCCCCTCCCCAGTTTGACATTGCTTGCAAATCTACGTTGATTAAAGCATTGATTAGAATGATTTCTTGATATTTATGAAGACTCTGTAATAGATGCTAAGTATTAACACCTGTCAGAGTTTTAAAAAGCATATTTATCCTTCATTAGCTGAAGTATTCTATTTACCTGGTAATGCTTCAATGTCTGCATTTGTTGTAAGAGGTTCCCGTTAAGTTTCAAATGAAATCTTTCCTGTGAAAGATGCCAATGTTTTGGTGTACAAGAACCTTAAAGTTAGTGCACATGTCCTGTTCTCTTTGACTCTACTGTGTCTTGTTCAGGACATGTTTGATAACTAGAATTCCTTATCTATCTCAAAAGTCTTTAAAATAGGCTCTTTCATCAAAATGGCTGATGTTAAAGAACTGTAATTGGCACAATATGCATACCTGGATGATGTTATCTGCACAGGTGTGCGCAGCTTTGAGTGGCTTTTGTAAAGTGTGCGCGGTTTTGAGGGGCTTGTGAAGAGAGTAACAACTGAACCGCTGGAATCTGTGCAAATCCTGCCATTTCTTTGAATGCAGAACAGTTTATATTCATTGGACCTATGAAGTTCTGCAAAGGCACCTAGGTAGTAACATCAAATAAGATAAGGTGCATTTCATAATGTAAAACATTTAAAGAAGCATCAAAATGGCACATGCAAATGGAAAAGTTTTGTCATAGAGCTTGTTATTCTGAGAAGATTCAAGTTAAAAAGGCAACAAATATGATGAAAATTTTAATATTATTAACATAAATGAAATACATTTTCATACATTGAAAAAGTTTGTGACTGGGTAATTTCACCGTATAGGATATAATTTTCTATCCAAATCAGTGGTTTTCCTTTCCCTGAAACTAACAGCTCTTTCTCAATTACAGGAACTACAGTGTCCCATTTAGCTGAATAAACCCAGCTTTCTACTTTTTTTTCCTGGGGCAATAGTTCAAAAAAATAATTCACATTCTATCATGATGTGGTGCAGGCAGGGTTGTTTACACTAACACTTTTTGTGACTAGTGACACTGATTGTAAACTCCCAGATTCAGTGCGGTGCTGTTCTCCCCTTATCGTTCTTGATCGCATCCTCATTTCAGTTCTGCAAAGAAACAGTGAATAAGTAGGTTAGTGGTTTAATTATTCATGAATGTGATTCAGCATGAAAATAGGAAGATCTCTGTGCAGTTAAATACATCTTCATGGATTATCTTTCTATGTTTCTGAAAATTATTTCATAGCTATTTCATTGTAAGTTTATCATGAAAAAGGCATCGGAACAAATAAATGCCTGAAGTACTTCAGTACATTTACAGACATTGCTGTTTTTCACTGGGTAAGCAGTCCTTAAATGACGAGAATAATTGATATATCTCAGTTTAAATCAGGAAAGCATGCAACAACAGGAAGAAGACGTTGCTCGCACCCACAGAACACAGAAGCAATGCTGTCTTATAAATACTAAGACATCCATTGGGGGAGGGGTGGCACTTGCAACAGACAGCGATATAAAATCTCACACGCAATCCTGAACTTTAGCATGATTTTATATTACAGAGTGTTTGAAAATACTACTAAAGTTGTTCTTGCTCCTTCCATCCCCATCTTACTGCTGCAAGAACAAACTACTGCTGTGTCTGGGGTGAATGTCCTTTAAGAGGTGTGCTCTGAGCCACGTTGGGAAGCTGAATAATCCTGAGCTAGGTTAGCATACTTGAGGGACAGGAATGGTGGGCAGGAGTGCTTCAAGGCACACACATTTTATTACAGAGGTACTCAGTTTACATATTTGGGACTAGTTTGCAGTACCCCTTTTATATGGCACTCGGCTGGAACATGCAGCAAGCTACAGTTTTGGGTTTGTTTTTTTTTTTTGAAAAGGCAGTAGCATTCTTTGGCTCTTGGCAAAAAAGTCCAAGGTAATTTTAAATTTATTTTTTTAAAATCTCAGTATACTTTAAAATCCAAGTAAATGCAGGTATGATAAATATGTAAACAGTATTTTCATGCTAGGTGCTACCCATAGTTCAAAACTAAGTGGAAATAAATAATACAATAAACTATAATTATAAAATAATCATAGTATAAATAATAAAATACAGTAAAATAAAGTTTTTTTACTCCGAACTCTTTATTGGTGTTTTCTATCCCAGCCTCTGTCATCAGGTCAGCAACATGCTTCTCAAGGTCATCAATGCGCTCGCCCATTTCTTCCAGTAAAAAGTTAAAGATAACTTATTTATAAATAAGAATTCTAGAATTTTATCACTTTTTCCTTCTGTGAGAAAAACAAGCAGCTTTCTTCCAGATGTCTCAGCCTCTTACTTATTCATGTTTAATGCAAGATAAAGCAAGCACAAGGCTTGATTATTACAAGACAATCCCACTTTCTCTTGCAACAGATAAGCATTCAAGTTCTTAATATTTTCAAATGCCTTCCTGTATGCCCATGAGTGAACTGGCTTATTTTCTGTGTAAGAGATTGTTTTCTTCCAAGGAACTATTTTGGGTCAGTCAACCTACTCAACTGGAACGTTAGCGCTGCTAAAACATTGTTCTTCTCTTACATTAAAACAGCTACTTCCTAAAAGATCAAGTTTCAGAAAAAATGGAAAATGTAATAAATTTGCAGTTTCAGAAAGCAGAAGTAGTTTGTCTAAGTACATCTAATGAGAAAACTCAGAGCCCTTTCAGGTCTTAATTCCTCTTTTTGAGGGCTCACCTTTTCACGCTCAGCTGTTTTTAAACCAACCATATGCAGCAATATGCTGATTTAAGGGGCATTTTTGAAGGTGGTTGCTTTTTTAATGTACCTTCAGAATCTTTACACATAATTTGATGTTTATTTTACTGGAAAGCAAGAATTGCCGCACAGAGACTAGTTCACTGGTAGCTGATGCTACTTTTAGGAAAACCTTTTTTAGGATTTCCTTCATAGTAGAGGCAAAAATAAACGGGCTTGGGGGGCAATTCAGCTGTCTTTACATCATAGGCGTTTAGCAACGTCAACCATTATATCCTCATTTGATGTTTAGGGAAAAAAGCGCATCCCGATGTTAAAAAGCAAAGCCCCTCTTCACATGACCGCGGGGAGGAGGGGGGGGCCAAGCCCGGTCCCGCGGAGGAACCGCAGCCGTAGGAGCACGAAACCTCTGCCGCGGAGCTCGGAACCCGGGCCCGAGAGAGGATATTCCTCAGCGTTATATTTTCAGTCAGAGCTTGAAAGTTCTCCTGTAGTTGACACAGCAGATTTTCCGCCTAGGAGGGGGGGAAGAGAGAGAGAAAGCAGGAGGCCCGGGCGGCGGCGCACGGAGGGCAGCTACGGCCCAGGCAGTCCCGGGAGCCG